AGTAGAATGTTATCGAACTAGACACGTAATCCAAATATTATTATGACCAATCTTTTATCGTTACTGCGTCTTCTATTTACGTGTTTTCATATGGAATAACTGACGATATTGAATCGGTGACAATATGAATATTTACTTAATTAGATTTTATTTTATATATATAAATAAATAATAAAAAAATTAATTATAACTTATTGATTATATTGATTTATGAGTATTAAAGTTGAGACACAAAGTGCCAAAATAGCATTTATAATTTAGCTTTATATAAGATACTTTTCTCAAGTTTTCATAATGCTGGTCAAAATTCAGCATAATTTTGATCGTTCATGGTCTTTAGCCAATCAAACACATGTACTAGCGCTAGATTTCTAATGACGTAAGATTCTTTTAAAATTCGGAATAGGATTTGCACATGTGATTTAAGCTATTATTTTGATTGGTCAGAAGGTTCGTCACAGTTTTCGTCAATCATCACGAGTTTCGTCAATCGTCATGGGTTTCGTCCGACGAATGACGTGATGAAACCGTCATTATGAAAATAGTATCATTAACTAGTATATTTTGTTAGTTTAGTCAAATAAATTTAAATTTACATTACTTAAGATATCGCAGCCAAAAGTGACAGTTTTATTTTAATGCCTAGTCGAGCCAGGATGTTATTCTTGCTAATGATGGTCGAATTAAGTACTAATCTATTAATAAAATTCTAATTCATGGAGAAAAATTTTTTCATTATATTTTGTGTTATTTTACTTTATAAAGTGTCCGCATAAGTTTGATCGCCCTCTGTAACGATTTGAAATTTATAGCGATAGTACATTTAATTTACTATGGTGCAGAAACTCTTAAATCGACAATATGTTTCATGTTAAAAATTCTATCAACTTCTTAACTAAGAAGTAGAGCCAAAATTTAACCGGTAATAGTATCAAGAAAGTCCTTTCTATAATATTACCGGTTAAAAGTTGATAGAATTTTTAACATGAAACATATTGTCGATTTAAGAATTTCTGCACCATACATATGATAAAAGTACAGTATTTCCCAATTTTAATTGAAAATGGTGTTGCATTATATAATAATTTGCCACAATAACGATAATACATGTAGTCGCCTTGTAAGTTTGTAACTCATCATATTGAGAATTATCGCTGCAAATTTGACTTAACCCATCTGTGTCGTGCAAATACTGGCAATGAAAATTACTTTTTTTTATAGCAGTATCATTCAGATACTGCAATCAATATTCGATGTTAAAGACTTGTAACACTCAGATTATGGGTACCATCAAATGAATAAAGAGGCACATCTTGAACAGTGTCCTAAACTTCGCTCCAGGATTCACTACACAAAAAATCACATAATGAAGAATTACAATATTGTAATTAAATGATAACGATCATTGTAACAAAAAATTGCTTTTTTCTCATATTTATAGGGATGGTTCAGTAGTCAGTCCAATACTTAGGACTAGACTGGACCGAGAACTTACGAACTGGTCTATAGTTTTAATTAGCATCGGGACAATTAGTACTGAAATCGAGTTATAACTATCTCCTCTTGGTGTTACCTAGGAAGTCATTTTCGACGTCGGAAGTTTAAGCGGCGTTCTTTTTACGCACATGTAAAACGTTAAAAAAAAATCGGTCCGAACCGTGAATTTATTAGGACCGAAATATCACCAAGTATTCAAAGAAAATCGAAACTTAGTAATTTCGATACAGAAAGTTCTTTGCATTTACAAGAACTCTGGTTTTTTCTGGAACTTTGCGATGACGCGCTCTACAATTCGACGCGCGATTAACGTTAAGTCTCAGGTTGATCACTTAATCCATAATAGTATTCTCATTGATAACGATAATTTTTAATTACATATCGGTATACGTATGTTCTTTCAATTACGTACGTTTCGGTATATTCGTTTAATTTATTTATCCATACTCGGTTCAATCATTTATCCAAATTTGTATATAACTAACACTAACGCTAATAAAGCACAATCAAATTTTTCAAAAATGTTCGGACAAAAGAGATTTTCCTTTAATGATATCCCAGATCTTACCGACAAAGTAAGAAAAACGATTCTTTTTGCAGTTCATTGACTTCATAACGATAATACCAGGATTAATAAATTTATTTTTTCTAAATAGGTTGCGATCGTAACAGGCGGCAATGCTGGAATTGGATACGTAACAGCTCGTGAACTTGCCCGAAAAAATGCACATGTGATTGTGTGCAGCAGAAGCATCGAAAGAGGACAAACGGCCGTCAATAAAATCAAAACAGAAACTAACAACGATAAAGTTGAAGTTTTGCAATTGGACTTGGCGGATTGGAAGGGTACCAAGGATGCAGCGGATAGTTTTGTTGCTAGGAAATTGCCGTTGCATATTCTGCAAGTTTTTTCTTTTTTTTTAGTGAGATTTATTTTTTATGGGTTATTTGTTATATTTGCTAATGTTTTTTGTTTTTAATGAAATTTTAGTGTTAATAATGCTGGAATTATGGCAACGTAAGTATTTTGGTTTTAAGTTTTTCTGTCATTACCGTACCGTTACAAATTTAGTTGTAATTTTTTAATTGATGCGCTTTTGCTTATTTATTAGACCATACGAATTAAATGAACATGGAATTGAAAAACAATTCGCAACAAATCATGTCGGCCATTTTGTGAGTATTCATATACAAGAAATAACAACAATTTTCGATATGTTTGCATTTTAATTAATATCCACGAATACATCTTAAATAAATAGGTGTTTACTAAAGTCCTTTTACCAGTTATCGAAGCATCAGCTCCTTCGCGTATTGTAAATATTACCAGGTAGATATTGGATCTTTTTATTTTATAGAAACACACTTGATAACTTATTCTGCTTTTTCTTGATAGCGATTACCATAGACTTGGGATAAATTTTGACGATATCAACCTTGAAAAAGAAAGCGTATGGGCTCGGTATGGTCAGTCGAAAACTGCAAATATCTTGTTTACCATAGAATTAGCGAGACGACTTGAAGGAAAGCAAGTATGGGCGAATGCAGTTCATCCAGGTAATTTCTATTTTCTGGTTTGTTCTTCAAAATAAAATTTGAAAAATTTATAATTTGAAATCATTGTTTAAAGGGTTCGTTGCCACCAATTTAACACAAGGATACATGGCTCAAAGTGGAGTCTTGGTTAAAACAATAGTCAACTTAGTAAAAACAATTTTCGCGCTGAACGAAGACGATGGTGCTCTAACGCAATTATACGCGGCTACGAGCCCTGAAATTGAAAAAGAAAATTATCGCGGTAAGTATTTTGTGCCGATTGCGAAATTGGAAACACCGAGACCGTTTGCCACGAATCAAGAGACTGTTAGTCGGTTGTGGAAATGGACTGAGGAATTGCTTAATGAGAAATTAGGAATTTAGTTCAGTTTTTTTTAAAGATTAAATTCACTATGAATTTTAAACTATGATTCAATGAATTTTACTGAATTTTCAATGTAATTTCAACGCATTTATTGATTTTTTTTTGTATTTTTTGTATTTTTTGTATTTTGCCTGAAATCGAATTTAAGTCACAAATTTATTATATTGAATTCTGCCATTACCTTAGCTTTACTTTGTTTTATTGAATTTAAATTCTCTATTTACATGTATATGCTTTACTTTTTTAAACACGAATTACAGTCACATTCTTTATGACGATAACCCTATTGTCATGTTTGAAATAAAAGATTAAGAAATTAAGAAAAAAAGGTTGTGACTACGTATCAGTCGGAGTTAAACTGAATGATTTACGCAATAAAGGGTTTCTTTATGGTTCTAGAGGTCTCATGTGGCAAACTGATCAAAGTAATAATAATAATTAAAATGGTTCAATTAATAATAACAACCGAAGGGCTTATTGAGACTGCCTTCAAGAAAAATTAAAATTAAAATTCGAAATAAAATAAAATAAAACGTCAGGTCTTATTGAGACTGCCCAAATTTTAAAAATATCAAAATCAATCGTCGATGATAATTCACAGGATTGCTATGGGTCAATAATAAGTTCACAGTTTAATCAAGTTCAAACTATGGCTTATTTAGAGTAGAGGTCTTCTACTGTAAAGTTTGTACGCAACTTCTGAAGTCAATTAAAAGCAAATAAGAGAAGATGCTTTATTAACAATCTTTATCTTTTTTTGATGGTTTGATATGAGCTTCTTCTTGTTTCAGTGAGAAGCTTCTATTTATACAATTTGTTAATATTAATATATATATATATCGTAAAACTAATAAATATTTAACTGAACTCATATTCAAACTTATAATTGAAAATGTCGTTCACAACCGCAACTACAACTATAACCGCATTGTTAAACGTTAACATATTACAGTCAACTCTCGATATAGTGAAGTTGAGCTCAAAAACAATATATTATAACGAATTCTACAAGACTAAAAATTAATCAGGCAAAAATCCTGTTTTTTAGTTCCCGAAAACCACAGGTTTAGTTATGAAATTTCCGAATTAAAATCTGATGAGAATCGGATTAAAAACGGAAAAGACGGGAGAAAATAAAAACATTATTCGGTAACTTTGGGACATGATATCTCACGATTCACTGATCCAATCCGGACAAAAAATACACCATTTGATTCGCCAAGACTTGGCGAATCGAATGGTGATATTATTGGACTCATGAATCATGAGATATCATATTCCAGTTACTGGACAAATTTTCTTATTTTCACATTTTTAAAAACGGATTAATATCTCATAACTCACTCAACTAATTGGGGGATCCGTTAAAGCCAGGTGGTCACGCGTGTGATTGAACAATCAGATTGCAAGATCAACAAATTTGACCAATCTACTGTATTTTTCGGCAATTAGTACCCCCTTGATAAAATATCCCCTTGATAAAGTACCCTGGTACTAATCTCGGTTACAAGTTGAGTAGAATGTAAAGTACCCCCTTTATAATTCCTGAAATTAGCATTATTCAGGCCAAAACTAGTGTAATCCGGGCCAAATTACGACTTCCATGTTAAGTATCCCCGATATAATATACCCTCCTCTTCACAAAGTACCCGGTGGGTACAAATCAATTTTTGAGCCCCTAGAATGTAAGAGACCCGGGGTACTAATTGCCGAAAAATACGGTAATTGCCGAAAATGTGTAACATACAAAATTCAAAATAAACGAAAAATGTGAATACATGCATCTCGAAATTTTACTATGACAACTTTTAAATAAAATGCTCAGCGCGAAATTTTAGATACACTATCTTTGTAGGGACTAGCTCCTTGTCTAGCAGAATTTCCAGTGAACTTGATAAATTTGATGCTAAGCCACACTAACTGGCTTTAGTATTCCTCAAATTGGATAAAATAAAGCCACATATTTAATGAGATAGTGAAATAGTGGCTGAATTTTGGTGGAATTTGGCCTGGTGAGTCATGAGATATCATGCTTCAAATCACGTGTGGTTCAAGTTTTTTCCAAAAAATCAGCAATTTTGAAACATGATATCTCGTGATCCAAAAGTTCAATCAGGATAAAAATAACACCATTCGATTTGTCAAGACTAGACTAAACGTAAACCGGGGGGTAATGATAATATCTAAATGCATGTATAACGATAATAAATTCCGTTCGATATAGTACTAACGTTAACGTTAATAAGTACCTAATCACGGCGAAAAAAAAGTGACTCTCACATGATTATGCTCACGATGCCGGCCGATATGCTCCCCTAAAATTATCAAAACCAAAATCCTTATTTTTGAAAAATAGCTTGTATCTTAAAATTTTGTCTATGCAACTATCTTTTGTGCTTTAATAAAAAATGTTATTTGCAAAATTTACTATATATTTATTCCCGCTTGCTATACAATAATCTTAACTAATCCTACCCTAACTGAAACTCTATTTTTTAATATTATGTATTATGATTATTATAATTAAAGGGCATATCGGATGGCCGGCATCGGGATCGGAATCATGTGACAGTCACATTTTTCGCCGTAGCTAGGGTGTTACAGTCAAAGTCCTTTACAACGGCGCTGTATACATCGGATTCGGCTTATTGATATCCCGATTTTTACGAATTTTAACTATTTAAAAACTTCCTATATATGGTGCATAACATCTAAAGTCATCAAACGTTTGTATTTTATAAAATGGATAAACTTCTTTGCCAAGAAGTAAATACAAAATTTAAACCGTGAATATGATAGAATAGGCCCTTTCTGAGCATATTCACGGATTAAATTTTGTATTTACTTCTTAGCAAAGAAGTTTATACATTTTGTAAAATACAAATGTTTGATGACTTTAGATGTTATGCACCATATCGGCTCAAAAGCGCCAATCCAATGCGGGTCGTTGTAAAGGGCTTTGATTGTATTAATAAATATGATAATACAACCAAAAAATTCAAAAATTTGTTCATTGTTTCGAACTCAAACTCTTACAAAACTTTGAATTATTATTACAAATCAAATTGAGAATTTCATCAAAAATTTGTCGACACGCAATACAAAAAATTGCGGAAAACACATGTACAAAATTTAACGTCAATCCAACTTTCTTGATTATTCTATTGCTATTGGATTGAATTTTGTATTTGCTTCCTAGTTAACGTTAAGTTTATCGTTATTATCATTACGTATAACGGTCAGGTTTGTCGATCATAGACCAGCATACAACAGAAATTTTTGAATTAGACCGGCAAAACAAATCTGACACAAGAAAAGGAAAAATACAAGAAATGCGAAAAATACGAGAAACAGGTGCCTAAATCTAGCTTTGATTACTAATTAAAAACGTCGGCGAGACAATTTTATGTATAACCCCCCGTATCCCAACCATAACTCCTAAACCTAACCCTAATACTAAACCAAACTTCTATTGTTACAGTATAATTTTCCGAGGTCAACAAAACCTGGCTTACGTGCAATAATTAGACCGTATCTAAGTTGTGAAAAGAGTGATTGCCTAAAAAATTACATTTTTCTAATCAAGCAATTCTTGAATTGTTTAAAATACAAATTGTGAAACGAATAGGATTGTTTAATGATTGCCAAATGTTGATTCGAATTATGATAGCAAATAGAAGCAGAAAGAAAAATTATCCTTATCGTTATTGATTGACAATGTTATCCATCCGGAACAAGTGATAGTGTTGTGTAAAATTTTTATATCAATATCGATATGGAAAAATTTACTTTACATGTACTCTAGGTCTATTTCATTTTTGTAATGACGTCACATCAACTCCACAAGGCGGAAAATTCTACAGTAATATTAAAAGGTTGGTTTTAGGCTGAGGGTTAGAGCTGAGATACAGATTATATATAAAATTGTCTCCCGACGTTTTTAATTAGTACTCCAAGCTATATTTATGCACTTGTTTTCGCATTTCTTGTATTGTTTCTTTTCTTGTGTCGGATTTGTTTTGCCGGTCTATCAGAAATTTCTGCGTTCTTATTGGATGCTAATAAAAAAATTACGCATTCTTATTGGCTACTGGTCTATGATCGACAAAACCTGGCACAGATTTCTGATGTGCCTCCTCAAGATTTTACTGAATAAAAATTATGACCTATCGCTATTATAGGTTATGATTAGGTCACTAACAGTTATGATTAAGTTACTATTCAGTATTAAACATACAGTAGCTTCTATATCGGGTATTGTATGTTATGTCCCAAATACAATCCGTCATTTTATAACATACATCTCAATATCCAAGAATCTAATTCTTGACATCCCGTGATCCGATTTGAACAATAAAAACTACTATATATTCGATTTGTCTAGACTAGGTGAATCGAATGGTAGTCTTTTTGTTCAAATCGGATCACTGGATGTCGAATATTGCGTCTTAAAGTAACCACTTCATTTTTTTACATTAAACGAATCGGATCACTGGAGGTCGACCGATTCATTGTTTTGACGATCAATTTCTAATGAAAAATTGATCGATAAATATGAATCTGTCACTTTTAGGATGTAACATCTCGGCATCCAGTGACCCAATTTGAGTGAAAATATCACTATTTGATTCGCCTAGATTTGACAAATCGATTTCGATCAAATCGGGTCGCTGGACATCGAGATATTATGTCCGATTTACGTATTGTATTGGCATGAACATAAAATACCCAATATAGAAGCTCTAACAATCTACGTAAAAATATACAAGCGATTAGGTGTCATATTACATTTAACGCCAGAAAATTTGGGTGATCGTTATAGTATTGTTGCGTTGAACCTCTAAAATTATTCGAATTAGGTTTTTCACAACAAATATGAGCGAGACTGAATGATTTACGGAAAAAGGAGTTCTTTAGACGTTCTAAAGGTCTCCTGTAGCAATTTGTATGCAAATTGGCCTTTAAAGATAGGGGTATTTCAAAATAAAATAATAAAATCCTAATTATTTAACAAAAATCAAAGTAAACTTTCAAACTTATTGATACAGCCTGGACAAAGCAAAACTCAAAATCAAAATAAAAACAAAGTATCAATTCAAAGAAAATCAATGGCTTATTTAGAGTGGAGAGCATCCACTACTTGCTACTTTGCTCGTAAGATTTGATGATGATCAAGAACATAATAGTGTATTCACAAGTAATGTTATTATTACAAGTAAAATTTTGTTATTTTATTTGATCAAAGCATGTTTTCTCAGAGGCTCAAGAGCACCTCTATATATACAGTTTCGAATTACTACGATAATTCTAAGGTTAGTATTTTACATTGATTGTTTCTTTTGAGGCTTTCTAAAACAATTAAGCAATTATCGTTCGATGTCTCTAATTGGCTCTAGATAATCAGTATTGATACGCAATAATATTAAAGAACGATGGGAATGTTTATGACACAAGAAGATAATGAAATATTTCTAAATTTGACTTGCAATACGAATTATGCAAGAAACTAATTATGGAAGGATTATCATGTAGGAATTATCAAAGGAAATTATGGAATTAGAGGATTTAATGTTGAAAATAAGTATGGAAAGATATTCATGTAGAAATTAGGAACAAAAATTACGGAATTAAAGGATTTAATGTCACTACGGTAACAGTATAATATCGGCAATGCCGGGTGTTCGGATACTTCCTGATCCAATGCTAAAACTTATAATAACAATAAATATAAATTCTCGAAAACTTTTGAGTAATGAATGTATAAAAAATGTTAGGATGGCCAGCGTTAATTGCACCACAATTTATAAATTTGCTGATTTATGAGAGCACCTGCATTTTCGAAAAGAGAAGACGTTGAGTTGCAAAGTCAACATATTTTAGTCAACATATTTTAGTCAAAAATTCGAATTCTATAAAATCAATGCAAGACAACTGCCATGATTCTAAATATCAAACTAATTTAACTTTTATCGAATCACATTCCTCGTTAAATCCCAATCGAGTCTATATGCTGTTGTTAAATTTCATATCGAATATAGTTTGAAGTGCTATAAAAATGGACGAAATAGTGTTGAAAGATGTGTTTAACACAAGCTCTATTTTATAATTAAAGAGAAAATGAGTAAAATAAGAGATGAATTTCGATTTTTGGATTAAGATACTTCACATAAGCTTCTCCAATTCGACAGTCAAAGAAATATTTTAGTAGTTTCTTTGATCATACTTCATAATATTCCCATGACCAATGTCATTGCAATTAATTTCTTTTGATGATATTTAGCGTTAGTATTATAGTTATTATTTTTTGGATAGAATATACAGTTATGGAACGTGCTGAAGAAGTTATTTGGCATCATACTACTTGCATTAAAAAACAAATAAAAAGAAGTTTAATTTGTCTCGGATACAAAGTGCTTCCTTAGTAAATGCAGCTCAAGATATTCAACAGTGATCATAGATCTATGTGATTCTTTCTTTATATAAACTAAACTAGAAATTCTTAGTTATCTACTATTAATCATCAAAAATATTTAAAGAAAAAATATGCCAAATAAATTTCTTAAACCCCCCAGCAACCTTCTCAAACTAGATACATAAATCCTTTTTTGTTTTCGGTTTAGTTTTAATTCTCGTGAAACCGGTTTCGCGATTTCGACTATATATAACGAATTTATATTTATTAATAATTAGCATTTTTTTTGAAGGTAACAAATGTCATTGGTTGCGGTTATTTAATATAAAAACAGTTTTGAAATAAAACACAATAGAAATTAAAAGAAATGCAATTTATTAATAAAACATATAAAATGCAGGATTTTCTTTGTATATAAAAGTTTTCAACTTTACTAATCAATACTTTAGAATTAGATTTTTCTCAGATAAATATAGATTGCTATACGTAATTATTTTGATATAAAAATAAAAGATCCTACATTTTTATATAAAGTTGCATTACTTGATATAATTTGATTTTCATTTTCGTGTGCAATATATTTAGGGTGCTGCTGACATATATTATTTTGATAGAGGCGCCTCCACCCCAGGTAAGCTCTATCCAATCAAAATGCTTAATTTTATACTACTTAAGATCAAGCTCTACCCCACCCCCTAAAATATTAGCTAATGAATGTCACTGCCCTTAATAAGAGCAGTTAAATATGTAATCTAGAATCAAAATAAAGAAAAAAAAATCAGATTTCTTCTCTTCAACCACATTAAGATCCCAATACTCACATAAGAAGTTGGTCGTTTTCTTGAAGTCAACCCTAACGTTATTCCCAAATTCAAACGCAAGATTTTTAGAACTTTCTTTGTACTTATCAAGAACATCGAGATTTTCTTGCAGATTAGATAATGGATGATTATCGTGTTTGATTATTTTGAAAAGGTAATAACATACATGTGTTTTATTATTTTCGTAATAAAAACGATAACAGAGTAACAATTGTAGACAGTAAAAAAGTCTAAAAGCTATGTCATTAAAACAAGTGAAAAAAAAATAAAAATCAGAAATGGGTTTAAATCTTATTGTTTAGACCGAAACTGAGGATCTTCATTATTTATCATATCGATATAGAGATCATCGTCATTATCCACACTGTCCATTTTGCACAATTCCGGCACAATCCACATTTTCTGCATCGGGCATTGATACTTGCAAGCGAGCGCATGAATTTCTTCACACATTAATTGTGACCTGACTTTTGCCAGAGTATAGCCCAAGCGATTCAGTCCTTTTCGATCGTTGCCACCGTCTCCCCAGTAAGTATCGTTCGAGGTGTGTTCGTATAAATCAGCAGTGGCGGTTGATAGCAGTTTATATTTCAGTGATGGATTTTGAGAGTATTTACACAATTGTGCACGTTCCATCACTTCTTCTTTGAAGATGAACCCACGTGGAGGAACACGCGATTCCCAGTTTGCTCTTTTATCATAGTCCCTGGAACGCGCGATCGAAAATGCATCACGGGCTGTATTAGCGTCGCGAATTCTTTTTTGTATATATTGGCTTTCAAACTTCTGCGCTTGGACTGTATGTGAATTATAAAACATATAAAATTATCCCATTTATAGCTTTTTACTAAATTGAAGTAGAGTAATAAAAAAAATACTTACAATAGTGCTCAGTGGTAGGCCAAGTGTGAGTGTCAATTGTTACTTTAGCTCGATAAAAATTGGTAAACTCATAATAAGGTTCATCCTTATTATAAAAATCCACCTTGTGCATGTCACTTGCAAGCTTTTTCTAAATTTAATAAAAGTTATTTAACTATTAACAACAAAATGTAGCATTTTTTGAAAACTAAAAATTTACCGTAGAAGCTTCCAAAATGTGCAGAATTGAATTAGCCACGAGTTCATCCCTGCTATAAACTACAGACGTTGCTCCAGCGCGATCAAGTGGTTCACACATATAATATATGGAATAAGGGGGCAGATTTGGGCGTATGACAATCACGTCAAGAGTCTCATTATCACAGACCTCGCGAATGCTTTTAACAAACTCGCAATCAGTATATGCGTATTCTTGCGCAGCACAGAAAAGTGTAAGGTTTTTGTTATTACGCCAACAATTGATCGCGCATTCAAGTGTGAATTCTTTGGCAGCGATTATGGCATTTGCGGCGTTTGTGCGCGTTTTGTATTCGAAAGACTTGATTAAACGGGTGAATCCATATTGAGTGAATCCTCTCTTAGTTGGTAGAATGCGTGTGTAGCCAGCATAGTCAACGTTGAAATAGATAAACAACGCAACGGAGTGAATTTTTTTAGGTTGTTGATAAAACAACAATGGATCCGTTTTTTTATTGTTTGTTAACTCTGGGACATAGTGATATGGTTCTGTCACTACTTGTTGCATTCCTGATTTCTTTTTATCGTTACTGATATTGTTTTGCGGAAAAGGTTTTTCAAGAAAGTTTGTAGTGTTGATCTCGGTTTGTGGAGAGGGATTTTCCTCTATTTTTCCAGCAAAGCTTCTTTTAGTGTTGAGCTCGTTTTGTGGAGAAGGATCATTTATTTTTGGTAAAGAAGCTTGTAGCGGATTATTTGCGAATCCCTTGTCCCTTTGTTCCATAAATGTTGTTGATGATGTTGATTCTCGATTTTGATTCAATTGTTGCAACTGTTGTTGTTGTCTCTTTTTTCTTTGTTGTTTATTGGACATAGGCTTTTCACGCTCAGAATCATCACCGTTACCTCGTTTGTGATCGTTGTAGCTATCCATCTCATTGCGAGGAGTTGATTGAGCGGAATTTGCCCGAGGGGTATTACTATCATGAGCAAGTGGCGGAGAAGGAGCTTGTTGAATTGGTGTATTGATGTTTTTTGTATTAGGAGGTTGCTGATTTTCCTGAGAAACACTACTAAGAGATTGTTGATTTCCTGTTTGGTAATATCTTGCTTCACCCCATCCAGGTTTTTTTGTCGAGTATATGGTGGCGGAAGGAATAACAACTGTTGTCATCGGATTGTTGTATTTTCGGCTGAGATGGTCTTCATAGGATGGATCTTGATCTAATGTCTTGTTAGTAGATTGTCCATCTGAAGCTATTCGAAACGAAACAAAACAAATTATTTAAAATGGTAGCAATTAAATAAAATATTAAATACTAAAGTACTAAAATAAATTAGAGTTACGAGAGTTAGTTAAAGATGATAAGTTGGAATCGTCGCTATCTGTAACGTTTGTCATTTCTGTATCTTTCGAAATGTGCATATATATTTTGAAAAAAGAAAAAATGGCTTTAATATTAATAGAAGATGATATTTTATCTTTTTATTATCACCATTTAATTTCTGTCTCGACTTTTTTTAGGTCTTTCTTTAAATAAGTTTTTGCAAGAACCAAATTATTTAATTTATTTAAGAAGCTTTGTGAAAGTGATTTAGTGATATATTTGATATATCTATTGTCTTATCGTTATATCTTATACTATTACATGTACTTTTCCCACCAAAATATATAATTGCTCGTAATACATTCGCTTATTATATCATCGTTATTGTTTGATAAATCAATTTTTTGGTGACCAATTTTTATTCATATATACAAGTATATAAAGACACAAATACGCCTCATTCTTAATCTAAGTGCGAAAAATGAGTTGTGTTATTCTTAATTGCAAGAAAACTCGCGTTGACAACGAAACTTCTTTATGTGCCGCTCACTACCAAATTCTTAATGGTGAGTATTTTCGTCTTCTGTATTTTGAATAGTATAGCACGAATTTTTTTTGATTAATCTTCGCTTTTACCGTTATTATTAAGAAAATCCTTCAGTTTTTCCTAGCACACATAAAATAAAAAGTCTTTCTTCCTCGTCCATTACCGCTATTTTCACATCATCTTCAACAAGATACACCCATCTAATGTCTTTGAGTAAGGGTACTGCCGGGTATAAAAAGATTGAAGCAAGGTTCTTGAGGGATTGGGTCAAGAATAATACTCAAGGTTTACGAGTGGAAGCCATTTACAACATAATCTTCCCATCCGAGATAACTACTCAATACAAAAATTACAAAAATCAAGTCGAATCTCAAATCAACTATCAAGTTTTAGGTCTTCCAGAAGCAAACGAAAAGCTACTTTGGCACGGAACAGACCAATTATGCTGTATTTTATATGATAAGCCAACAACTGTGCCTTCGCCATGCGCAACCCCTAATTGCCCTGGTTGTGGTATTCTGATGAATTCTTTTTCGATGAATAAAGTGGGAGTTAATCATCAAGGAAGAACATTCCAACGATTGGGACAAGGATTATATTTCACTCCGCATTCAAGCAAAGCGCATTTTTATGGGCACCAGGGAGTAAGTTTTTCAAGTTTTATATTGGTCTATTTTGATGATGTATTTTTTGACGTTTTATTTTGTAGGCGAAATCTTTGCCGAATGATAGTGGACGATATTGTCGAATTATGTTCTTGTCTAAAGTTGAGAATTGAACGTCTTTCTGAGAAAGAGCGCATTGTTTCAACATCGCTTTGCTAAAAAAAAAACACACGTCTTTTAGGTAGTTCTCGGTAAACCTTGGGAACCTGAAGTCGTTTCGCAAAATGCGCGTGGTCCTCCAGAGGGATACAATTCAACTTGGGGCCGAGTTGGTAATTATTCTATTTGCTTTTCAATCAATCAACGATAAGCGTATTTATCATGTATTATCCATTTTTTGTCAGGATATTGTCCACACGGTGGTGCAAAGTTGAATTATGAGGAGTATGCGGTTTATAGGTAAATTATCTATCTTATGGTTTGATTTAGTTGATTGGTTTCTAAATCGAAATGATTTCATTGGATAATAGACAAGAGGCGTGTTTACCAGTGAACTATATAGCTTATTCTTATACGTCGAGTAGTGAATAGAAATATATATAATGTATTATGGAATGGGATGATAATATCGAGATATTGTTCTGCGAGTTAAGGTAGAATTATTGTCTGTTTGAGATACGTATCTGTACATGTATATGTATATCGATATGAACAGTATACGTATATACATGTACATAACAGAATACTAATACGTACAAACTAGTGCTAGCTGTTTATTATAATGCTCACATGACTAATGACTATTTGGATAATAATACATACTAGAATAATACATACTGCTAGAATAACGAAGTAATGGAGTGTTTGCAGAGTTCATACTGCTAGAATAATACATACTGCTAGAATAACGAAGTAATGGAGTGTTTGCAGAGAAATGAAATATTCATGCTTGTGCCAATTAAATAGCATTATTTTTTCGTTCTTTTGTTTACTCGTTGTTCTTATTCTCGGTGTTCGTGTTTTTTCTCCCTCCACTTTTATGTTACAAAAGTGAAGTGTTGTATTATTTACGTATATTTTTGATATTTCACGTGCTAGGTAAGCTTTGTTGAACCAGCATTAATCATGAATCCGAGTCTCTTTTTTTACCAGCACATGATGACAACAGTTTCAGTTTGTGCCGTGCTATAGGTCGTTGTGATCTCTTCTACATAATACGCACAAATAAAACCATTAGAAATCAAAACTTCAATTTCTACAAATCGCCCGAGATAAAATACAAAAGCTTGCCTGTCCACCACCACCAATATTTCTAGCAGACGATTTTGATGACATAGTCGATACCTTCTCCGATGTATCCGTTATCAACATTTGTGGATTCAAAGATCCATCGACCAGATTCTCACGAATCGTAGTCTTCGGATCACATATTACTATTATTTTGCGGTGTATCTCTTCCACATAGTCTTCGTCAACCTTTTCGTGGTGTTGTCGGTACACGCATAGTTCGATTGTTGCTGCTTTCCAATACATGTATAATTCTTGCTCTATTTTTTTATCAGGTTAATTAGTAATCTCATTTTTTTAAACATTTTTGCAAAAGTGTTTTTCACCTTTTGTTGGAAGCGGTCGTTTATGACCAACTAGTGCGTTTCTTAGTAATACTATGCCTTAATTTATTCAAAGCAACGATAATTAGCAATGATAGTAAAGAAATTATTTCCACATCAATATTAAATTTCTACAAACATTTATCCCGGTACTCGTCACCAGTATCTGTGCAAATATTATGATGCATTTTTAGTGCTTGTCTGTTATAATGCTTTTCTGTTGTTGGATTAGATTATTTTTTCCAACAGAGTATAGTATTATTGAAAAGAATAAAACTTGATGTGTTAACAACGGTTTATTCTCCTCTATATATAGGAAAAACAACAAAGCATCAGAAAATTGTATTATCGTTATCGTTATCGTTATACGTTAAACTTTAGAATATAAATTTATGTAATGTTCAATTTGTTTTCCTTAATAAGCAGTAATGATGACGATTTGGGTGATGTTGATTTGTTGAATTGCTCTGCTTTCTCACGGGGTACAATCTGGAATCCATCCTCCTTAAATCCGGATTTTAATTAGTCATCATTAGACACGTAATATATAGCGTGAATACGTAGGACATGTACGTAACAATAATGATATATATACATCTATTTTTGTGGGCGTTATTGTTATACGTACATGTATATAACTAAATTCTCGGTGCACTCCTAATTGACTTGCAGCAACCAGATTAGGCGTTTCTAATTTCGCAAACAACCCAAAATACCACGGTAATTTTCTTTTGAATAAGACAAAAATCTTTTAGTTTAGAAATTTAATTACCTGGGTGAACTGAATTTGCCTATACTTGTTTTCCTTCGAGTCGTCTCACTAATTCTGCCGTGAATAGCATGTAAGCAAATTTCGATTGAGCATATCGAGCTAGTCCGTTTTCCTTCTGATTTTATAAGACTAAATTTAATTAGCTATTGAATTTTAATACGACGTGTGTAGGTACTGATGAGTTAAAAGTGCTTTAGTCAAAACCTTTAAAATACACCACCATAAGATAAAAATAAATCTTTTCTCAGCTCACGAGTGTAATAAAATTTCCCCTTATAAGAAATAATCTCCATAAGTTAAATTAAATGGGACAGTCCAAGAGGTTCATGTATCGAGTTTGATATTTTCAAAGATGGTATACAGTGAAACCTCCCTAAATGCACCCCCGGCTATGAGTGTGCATTTAGAGAGGGTGCACTTAAAGAATTTAGAGTTAGAATCATGTAATTATGTATTATATGATGTAATCATGCATCATATTCATAAAATTTTAATTCATAAATGCCCGCAGCATTAATTTGCATCAATAGTAAAAAAAAAGTCTCGCATTATTATTAATTTACATCAAGACTGTTACAATTGACCGACCCGATAAATCTTTCCAAACTGTTCACTAATCGAATTTAATGGATACACGTGAATTTTGTCACGTGCCGTGCACTTACGGAGAGAACTTCAAATATAATGGGACCGGAAAAGTCATTGCACGTGTAGAATAGAGGGTGTGCATTTAGCACTATGATCCCAGTTTGGGACTGGACAAAAGGGTGCATTTAGGGAGGTCTTACTGTACTCACGTAATTTGTTGCGAATTGTTTTCGATTCCATGTTCATTTAAAACCAACGAATTAGCTAATTAACAACTAAAATTCAATGTGACAAAAAGAAGAAATGAAAACAACTCAACTACGTTGCTATAACATTTAAAATATGAGCAAATTCCAGGGACAAAAAATAAATGCTAAGGAAAACCTTACAGAATATGCAATGGCAACCTCCAACAAATGCCACCACTAAAGCTTGGGGTAAACCCTTTTCAATTCCGTAACATTTCGGTTTGATGAGCACACAGAAACCGTAATCATAAACTTCGAAAATCCGAAACTTCCTAAACACTCTGATACTGTCCGATTAGGGGAATCTCTATCGCAGCAATTATTATAAACGTGGAATTGTTTTGCGATGTCTTGCTCCCAAACCCGCAAATTCGTTAATAAGTTTTGCATGTCAGCATCCAGTACAAGTAAAAGTTATCATCTAATCGAATTTGATTACATATATTTCAAAAAAGAAAGTTTTCCACACCGCTAAAGTTCGGACAAAAGCCGCAAACGTTTTTCCTATGAGAAATTTACACTGTAAAAATTACAGGTGAGTATAATTAATTACATCGTCTACCTTAATTGGTATTACATATATATTATAGGATCATGGTAATTGGTATATAAAATGTCCTGTAATTCCAAGTAAATTAGGTAGTATAATTAACTATAACCACCTGTAATTTGTAACGAATTACAGGTTTTTATAGAGGGAAACACCAGTAATTTTTACAGGGGAAATTTCTTATAGGTTCATACTATACATTCAAACATCTTTATAACGGCAGGTAGAAAAGGGTTGGTGAACCTCTAGAGGCATTCTGAATTTCCTAGTGGTTTGTTGAGTTTTATATGATTTCTCCTAAATTATTAGTAATTTACTAGAAAACCACCAGGAAATCCGGCATTCCTCTAGAGGTTCACAAAAAAACCCCACCGGTGTATGGTTCTGAGGATTTTTGGCCGTTATAAAATAGATCCATAATGTGTTCTATGTGACGGTTCCGAAAATCTCATTCGCTATACAGTCAATGATACTTGACGATGACGAAACCTTTCGTCACGACCATTTTGAAAATGTCTGTGACGAAACCTTCCGACCATTTTGAAAATGTCTGTGACGAAACCTTCTGACCAATAAAATACTAGCTGATGCCTGACGATGATAATATCGATAATACATGTACATGTATTGATTTCACGAAACCTTTCGCCATGGCCACTTGGAAATGTAAGTGGCAAATGACCGAATGACAATTTAGAAAACTAAACCATAAAAACAATAGGTCAAATCAAGCTTTATCAATTTATCGGTTTATTTTTGCATAATTTTTACCAGAGGTATATATTTGAAATTATACACTTAAGTTTTCATAATGCTGGCCAAAATTCAGCATAATTTTGATCGTCTATGCCATCAGCCAATCAAACATATGAACTAGACATTCTTTTAAAATTCGATATGGTGCACACCATCTAAAGTCATCAAACATTTATTTTTTATAAAATGTATAAACTTCTCAACTAAGAAGAAAATT